TCATTCATTAAACAAATGTTTAGGGGAAAATGCACAACGTGAACTTCCTGGTCTAATTAGGCCACTCTGCTCTCTGTACATTTTTTTAAATTTATCTTTATTGTTGAAAGTATTACAGATGTCCCTTTTCCCCCCCATTTACCCCCTCCTCCCCATTCTTAAATCCTTACCTCAGTAACTTGCTAATCAATGCCTTTTTCTAGTCTACCACCGTTGCATCCACAATACTTGAAGGCATTTTATTTTCTTTTTTGTGTTCACCACATTTCCTAGAGTGACTCCTCACACGTAACAAACCCTCAATAAGCACGTGTTAATGAAATGACTTGATAATTAAAGAAATGAGCAATTATGCGATAAACTGCTCAGTGAAATGCAGGTTCTTGAAGTAGTGGGGAAGAAAACAAGTAAGTTTAACATTAAAACAAAACACAACAAAACTTACCTCATTGCTACTAATTACCTGTTGTATGAAATATTCAGCTTTCTACCCAAAGTCTGTATTGACTGTCTCTCTCTACATATCAACCATCACAATCAAATGATGGATGTATTAAAAGATTATATATCTTTTTATTCTTTTTACACATTTTAGATATTCAAAATTAATATCACATTAGGGTTTTGGAGAGAAAAAAGTCATATTTATCAAAGGCAATATTAACCTATGTCATAAAAATAGTAATAAATTTATCCCATATGCTGATCATTTCTTTTATGAAGCGTCATTTATTGAACGTTTGCTGTGAGCAGCACTTTGAGATGCTGTGGAACACAAGGTCTAAGGTCCAATTATCAGAAAGGAAATTAAGGGGTACATGCAACCAAGACTCTCACATGCAAGTTAAAAGTGATGCAGTACATCCTAGAGGTTGGAAAGAGTCAGAGAAGATGGTTAAGAGGCTAGGGCTGGGCCAGGAAAGATAAGTGGGATGCAAATGAGCAAAGGAAAAGGCAAAGACTGAGGGAAGGCAGTAACCTCCGTGTGCATTATTTAGAGCTTTTTAACATTATTACCTTACAGCAGTGCAAGATGCTAAAGTGATTCTAAAGTAGTCATGGAAAAGTGTGTGCTCTTAGGACTTCAGTAATCACAGTGGTTCCTTTGATGATTGTCAGTTAAAATAATTATTGAAGTAATCAAGGCACCAGTGCCCTAATCTTCCTGAGGTACTGGGCCCACAGGAATGACAATGCTAAAGAGCTGCAATTGCTTTAAGACATGCTTACATGAATTCATCCAAGCTCTCAACCAAGTAGGTGGCAAATGGGAAACCTACTGACAAGATGCTATTACTGACACACAGTTACCTGTCAGAGATTATCCTGGTCCGAGGAGATTGGCAGAACATCTTAAGTTGGTGGTTAAATTTCTTTTACTTTACCAAAATCATTGGGTGCTTAAGATCTCTTCGAGGACAACAACTTAGTCATCTCTGAGTCCCCATGCCTAGCCCCAGTGCTTGGCAAATACGGGGTGGGGGTGGGGGGAGGGTGCTCAATTAACAGTTGAAGAGCTAACGAATGAATGGATAGGTGAAGGGGGAACATAATAATTTACTTATTTATATTTTCAAAACCTGGGGAGAGTTTTGGTTAACTGCAAGGACAAGTATATGAACAGACGATGCTGTGTCCAGGTTTAGGAGATTCAGTTTAAAAGGAACAGGAGCCCATGAAGACCTCTGCCTTGTGGCCGTAACAGGCTTTGCATGGGAATTGCTTGTCCTTCCTCCCTTTTCTTTGTTTTACCCTCCAATGTGCTGTGGAACAAATAAGGCCTAAAAAGGAACATTGCAGATGTCAGTAGTCCTGAACCCTATAAGTGTTTTCCTTAGAAACTGAAGCGGACGTTACAGGAGCAGAAGAAAGTGAGTTTCAGTTGTTTTGGGGTGGGGAGGAGATTCATGACCCTGGAGCAAAGCTTGTATCCAGTAAAGGCTGGGTGTGTGGCCTTGAGGTAGACATTACTTCATCTGTGATTTTTACAGTTTTCTGTCTGAAAGTAGGAAAAAAATATGAGAAATATGATTTAATCAAATTTTGTGAGATTTTTTTCTTCACTAGTTGTTCTTCAACCCTATTCTTTTACTTCTACTACTGTTCTATCTTTATATTTTGGCTGTTTTGCAGGATTGAAACAGACAAACAAAACATACATGAGAATATGTCTGATAAAGCAAAACCCAAATGCTATTAGCCATTCCATTCCAGACCCATGAGATGGGACAACTTTGAATTTCATCAATATAAATGTTCCACTTGTACATTTTTTATATCATGATGTCAGAGTTAATTTTAGTTACAAATAGGCCTCTTACCTATTTGTCTAGTAGAACTTACAGACATTTGGAACTTAATTTTACTCATGTAAACATGGTCCTACTCTCTGGTCAGTCATTGTTAAAGACAATGTTAAACAGAATAAAGTTAAATTAGAAACCAAGACTATTTTAAGCCTATGTCAGTTTCAGTCCACTTTGAAATGATGCTAATTTCCTATGAAATGAAGGCATCAGGAACTCTATGGCCAATTTTCCCAAGTGAGTAAAAAGCCTCTAAGATTCCAGAAGCAGGTTCCAGTTAAATCTGTATGTCACAAACCATTGTAATTCCAGGCCCTAAAATCCTCCAGCTCATATGACTACTTTAAAAATCTGGATTGTGTTCAAGTGTGAGACATATAAATGAAATTGAGACTTATCAATTGATTGCCATTCTCTTTTTAATTTAAATCCTTTTTTTATGTGTATGTTTTCTGTTTTGCCCAATTAATAGGGAAATAATAAATTTTCCATGTGTGGTCTTATTTGACCCAATGCAAGGTGTCTCTGACTTAAATTCTTCTGTTTGGCACCCTTAACCCCCCCCCCCC